AACTCTATCTTTAAAGCAGCCCACCCCCCCCCCAACAGTGTCATTCCCCATCCCCCTCAACAGTCATTCCCCATCCCCCCCAACAGTGTCATTCCCCCGTGGGTGCCATCTCAGGGTTACCCCCACAATGGCATCCTCTGTGGAGTTGCCTTATTTGTGGGGAGCCCTCCCCTCTTGCTGTGGATGGGGGCAGGGTGGAGGTCCAGGGGGCCGCCAGCCCTCTCTGGCCCTGATCCTGGGGATATTGTTGCCTCTCGCCATCCCTCCCCTTGTCACCTCCCTCTTCCACTCCCATCTGGGCCTGGCCCCAGGGAGCAGGTGCAGTTCCACCATTGGCCTCTGGGGGGCGCCCGTGGCATCTCCATTCCCTCTCTTCCGGGTCAGAATGCCATCCCACCCCCTGCCAGTGGCCAACTCCACACGCCACCACACCTCTGCCTTATTCTTTTCCTCAAGCGAAGCCTCCTCCAAAGGAACCTCCCAGGGTCTGAACCCTGCAGCCATGGCCCTCCCAGGGCTGTCCTATGCCCCACGCGGGTGACCAGGGCTCTGAGTGTGTGGTGGGCACAGGCTGCTTGGTCACTCATCCAGCCTGGCATAGGCCTGGGGTCCTTGGAGCCAGGCTCAGCTGTTGGGCAGCCCATGTCACAGGGCTGGCTCGGAGGACTTGGCTTCTCACCACCAGCCTGGCTGGCTCACGGGTGAGGCTCACTGGGGGCTTCCTTCCTGAGGGGTCTCAGGTCTCAAGGCCCCTCCCCAGCTGTCCAGGCCCTCCCTCCAGGGACACCAGGGGAGTTTGGGCAAGCTCCAGGCAGCTGTGTTCCACCCTCCAGGTCCCTCATTTCCCGCTGCTAGGAAGGTGGGACCCAGGAAGACTGCACCCCTGGCCTCAGGCCAGGCCGGCCCGGCCCTAGCTGCCCGGGGCCCTCAGCCACTGCCCCCACCTGGGGCTCCTCTGTGCAGTTCAGGGGACCCCCAGGGGTTGCAGTGCTAGGGTCTCACGCAGACAAGCCCCTGTCCCCACCAGGGCCTGGCTCATAGGGAGTGACATGGGTCCCCTTCAGCACACCCTCCTGTGTCTCCCCAGGAGCCTGGCTGAGGATTTTGAGTTATGATAGTCGGTTGTTCGCTGGGCCTTCCATGCCCCATGCCCCTGGCAGCTCAGCTCACAACCTCCCTGCAGTTAACCCTTCTTCCTGTTTCCTTCCCTCTTCTCCTCTCCTTTCCTTCCTAAGTGATTATTCAGTCCCGTGTTAGATGTCTGCTGCGTATCCAGTGACCGAACACCAGGCCCTGCTCAGGGTCTCAGGCCAAAGTCCAGGTGTCAGCTGGGCTGCCATGTGAGGCTCAGGGTCCCCTTCTCAGCTCACCAGTTATTGGCAGAGTTCAGTTCCTTGCAGCTGTAGGCTCCAAGTTCCTGTGTCCTTGCTGGCTGCCACCCACAGTTCCCTGCCTCGTGCCCAGGCCAGCAGGAGAAATCCTCTACTCCTGCTGTCTCGCCTCTGAGCTCCAGCTCGCCTACAGCTCATCAGGTTAGGTCTGGCCCACCCCCTGGGGTTGGGGATCACGTGGGCTGCAGCAGGGTAGGCATCTTGGGTCCCCCAGAGAGTCTGGCCCCCACAGTCCTTCTCTCTCCTGAGTCTTACACCTCAGAGCTTGACCCAGAGCGAAGATCTGGGGGCCCCTTCCCTCTTCTGCCCCTGGACAGTTCCCGGCTCTAAGAGGTTTGCCAGAGAGTTAAAGGAGGAGAAAACACTGGAATGTTGGGGGGCGGCATTGGGGTCAACTAAGCCAGAAAGTGGCCCCAAACTCCTCGGATGCCCACGCTGGTCTGCCTTGCTGATTTCCTTGGCCATGGGCCAAGGCAGTGAGGCAGGATGGGGAGGGATATTCGAGGTCACCCTACTTTACCCACAGCCCTAAAGCCACCATCTCAAGCTTCGCTGCTCACCCTCAGCCTGCAGTACCCCCAGGTCTGCCCTGCCCGCCTGGCCTGCCTGCCATCCCCAGAGCTCAGGGCCGGGGCATGGGCTGACAAAGCAGTTGGGCATCCAGCCCTGGCTGGGCCAGCAGAGAGCACTGGGGCTCATGGAGTGGAGGACAAATGGTGCTGGGGCCGGTTTGGCACCTGACTTGGTCGTGGCCCTGCAGCCCTGTCTCCTGCGTGGGCTCACGTCACCAGGAGGACAGTGTGTAACCACGCTGCGCATGGCCGGCCCTGTCCTTTCCCGGGAGGGTGCAAGGTGGGCTCCTGTGCCAGTGCTTCCATCACTGCCCTTGACCTGAGCTTCCTGGGATGAATCCTGCCTCCAGGCCGAAGGGCCAGGCCACACACAGCCCAGCACCCTCAGTCCTCCCTGCTCCACCCTGTGGCCCCAGGGCCTCACACTCCATTTGCTTTGAGGCACTTGAGCTGCCTGAGCCTTGTTCTGGGTGTTTCCTCCCCAGGTGGGAAGGGGGTGTGGACTGTCTGGTCAGTGCCCACCTTGGCAGCCCTCGCACTCTGGGAACAGAATGTCCCCCTGTCCCCTGCGGCCTGCACGCCCCACAGCTCCATCCCAGGGCACCCATGGGAACAGGTTTCCCACCCACTAGCCAGGTCCAGGCCCTTTCCCTCCACTTCTCTCAGCTTCCTGATTTCCAAGCCAACAACTTTCTCATAGCCCTTCATTTTGTGCCAATCAAAATGCTGTTTCGTTCAGATTTACCTGAAACCACCAACCCGCCTCCCGACCCTACCCCATTCCCAACCCTGTGATTCCACTCCCCAGTTCTCCCTTCCTGGGGGCCAAGGAGCAGGCTGCAGTTCTCAGTGGTGACGGGGGTAGGCTTCTGGCGTCACGACTTTGTGTCCTTTTTCCCGGGGTGGGTGGGCAGGCAGCCTGGGAGAGGTGGAGCAGCCATACCCTCTGCTTTGCAGCCAGACCTCTACAGCCTCTTGTTGGACAATTGTTGGTTTGTTTTCATGAAAATCTGTATATATAAAAGCCTAAGTGACCGTTCGACCGGTAGCTATGATGCGCACTGACTAACAGGGGGCAGATGCTCAGCGCACAGGCATGGAAACATGGAACAGACTGATGAATCTCAGAGGGAAGTGGGGAGAGGGGAGGGCGGGCAGAGATTAACCAAAGATCTTATATGTATACTAGAGGCCCGGTGCATGGATTCGTACACCAGTGGGGTCCCTCAGTTTGGCCTGTGGGGATTGGGCCAAAACTGGCAGTCCAACATCCCCCGAGGGGTCCCGGATTGCGAGAGGGTGCAGGCCAGGCCGAGGGACCCCACCAGTGCACAAATCCCTACACCGGGCCTCTAGTAGTTATTATAAGTTCTGCCCTGATACAAATCCAAGATGTGCTTGAATTTCAAAAATGGGGCCAGTGTGCCAAACCGGTTTGGCTCAGTGGATAGAGCATCGGCCTGCGGACTCAAGGGTCCCGGGTTCGATTCCAGTCAAGGGCATGTACCTTGGTTGTGGGCACATCCCCAGTGGGGGGTGTGCAGGAGGCAGCTGATTGATCTCTCTCATCGATGTTTCTGACTCTCTGTCCCTCTCCCTATTTCTCTGTAAAAAATCAATAAAATATATATATTTTAAAAAATGGTGACTTCGGCAAGTGTGAATCTGAATGCTTCAGTGAGCAGCCTAAACTAGCCTAAACAGGACAGAATTCACTGGCTCTCGGCCCCAAAGACTTCTGGAAGCACCAGCCACAGGTGAGTCACCAATGGTCAAGTCCCTTTTCCACCTACGGAGCAGCAGCTCCGGGGCTCCCATGCCCTCCATCACCCCCTCTGAGGAGCTCCCCTGGACGGGGCCACCTGCCCTGACCAAGCTGGAACCCAAGTCTTCACCTTTTCTTGGGGTCAAACTCCTGGCAACGTGGAGACATGTATTAACACTAAGAAGCACCATGGTCACAGCCTCAGTGGCCACCTTTCACCCCAACCCCTTCCCTGATGCCCTCACACTGCGTGACATCCCGCTTGGGTAGCCAGGGGACCTGGGTGCTGAGAGACTCACCAGGCTCTGGGCACAGAGGTCAGCGTTTCTGCCCACCCCTCCCCTGCCTGGGTAACCCTGTGTCCCTCAGCGCTGTGCCCACTGGGCTGGGGGCTGGGCAGGACGCCCAGGCTCCTCACTGGCTGCTTCCTGCTGGTCCTGCTCACGGGTCAGCCTCCCCGCCTCTCAGAGGCCCCAGCTGGGCATCTTCGGACCCCCAGCTCCACCCCGACTCTAAAGACTCCAGTCTCCAACTCCTAGGCCTGAAGCTGCCTCCTGCCACCTGACCTCCCCATCAGGAGTCCCCGGCCTTGACCTTGAGAGGAAAACCACACAGCTATGTACTTACCCATTCGGTGACCCAGACACCCCGTTACTTCATGTAATTGGCTTGAGGAAGAGCCCGAGTTCAGGCCTCAGCACATTTCGAGGGCTGCTGGCCCTGTGCTGTCTGTAGGGTGCCAGGCTGTGGGAAGGAGCCAGACAGCCGTGCCTCAGCCTCCCCCTCTGTCACACAGGGATGGGCCATAGTACCTGCCGCAGAGGTTGAAGATTTAATAAATTAACGTGTGTCGAGTATTTGGAAGCAAGCCAGGACAGCAGCTGTGGGTAAGCACTAGCCATCTGATTTTTTATCCGTTTTCCACTCTGCCTGCGCTGGGCAAAGGCCCCTCCTCCCCCCAGGCGTCAGGAGGACATCGGGGAGTGGACAGGGCATGGGAGACTCTGGGGCAAGTGGGAAAGGCCGGGACACTGTAACCCTGTGCGTGGAGAGCGAGCTCGCCTGCTTGGCTGACGGTGACTAGGACAGAGCCACATGCCCGCCCACCCGCAGGGAAACGCAATTTGCGGTTTACTTCAAGGAAGTTATGTTTTTGGAGAAGCCTCTTGCAACATAAAAGTACACTCATTGCTTAAGAGAAAAGAGGCCGTTTTACTGCTTAACCTGCCAGACAGGAGGCGGCCCATTAGCCCCCGTTCCAGGCCTGTCTTTAGAGCTCTCTCGAAATGTAAAGGTCACGTTACGGGAGTAATTTGTGTCTTAAATAGTCACCTATAAATAGAACAGATGGAGTTGGAAGCAGCAAGGAGCGAGGAAAGGTGCTGGGAACAGCAATTACCTCAGAGTGAACTGCGTTCGTTCGGGGTGACTGATGCTGCTGGAGGAGAAGGGGGCACAAGGCCATGGTCCCTGCCCGCAGCCCAGGCGGCTGCAGTGGCTGACCCCGTGGGGGCGGGTCCATGGAGCTGCCTTTGCTCTCTAGATGGTCCCTGCCCGAGGGCTGGTGGGGGAAGCTCTGGCCCCAGAGCCCACCTGCCCTCCCCATGGCCCTGAAGAGCCAGGTGACCAAGCTCTGTGCAGACCACAGTCCACCCAACAAGGTGGGGCTTCTCAGGGACGATGCCCAGCAAAGGGGGTGAGCCCTGACCCACCTGGGGAGCTCAGGGTCTTCCCTCCCTCTTAAGAGGTCAAGCTGCCCACGGGCTGGGCAGGGGTTAGGGGGAGGTGAGTGAGACGAGTAGGCAAGCTCAGGACCAGATTTTGTATTTATTTAAAATTTTGACATTTTGTTTGTTGTCGTTTTTCTGTTGTTTCGATTTGGTAAAATATTGTGTTAAAGCCCTAGCTGGTTTGGCTCCGTGGGTAGAGCGTTGGCCCTAGCATGAGAGTTTTGGTCCTTTATACACACAGTTTGATGGTGACACAGTCACACCCTTGGGCTTAGTGAGATGGGAGGGATAAGAAGAGAGGACCCTGCCCTGGCTGGTTTGGCTCAGTGGCTAGAGCATAGGCCTGCAGACTGAAGTGTCCCGGGTTCAATTCTAGTCAAGGGCACATGCCCGGGTTGTGGGCTTGATCCCCAATAGGGGGTGTGCAGGAGGCAGCCGATCAATGATTCTCATCATTGATGTTTCTATCTCTCTCTACCTCTTCCTTCCTCTCTGAAATCAATAAAAATATATCCTTTTTTTAAAAAAAGAAGAGAGGACCCTGCAGTGGGGGTGGGGCTGGACCCTGCAATCACCCGCAAAGATTGAGCAGTTAAACAGCAGGTGGAGAATAGACTTTATTTTATTTTATTTTATTTTATTTTATTTTATTTTATTTTTCTGCCTCAAGTTCATCTTTGAGTATCAAAGCCAAGGAGCATAAAGGGCCAGACGGTGAGCGAGGACCCTGAGTGTGCACGTGTGAGTGTGCAAATGTGAGCATGTGCGTGTGCACTTGAGTGTGAGTGAGCATGGGAGCATATGTGTGTGAGCATGTGAGCATGTGTATTGTGTGAGTATGTGTGAGTGTTGTAATGTACCCCTCGAATCACACAAGGACGCCTCAAGAAGTTGAATTAAAGAGTCACATTTATTGCAAATCCGGGACTATGAGGGGGCATTTCGCTCTCCCAGATCTCATAGTGCCCTCCCCAGCCCCAACACCAGATTTATATAGGCAAAGATCACAAAGGTATTGATTACATCCCAAGGTTTGGAATGAGGAACCTGGTTTGCAAAAAACAGTTTACAGAAGCAGAAGCAGCATGTTATCTAAATTATAGTTTTGGGTCTCCGG